ACAGATAGATAGCATGCAACACACAGAGATAGCATACAAACACATAGCGATAGATAGCCATACAACACACAGCGATAGATAGCCATACCAACACTCAGCGATAGATAGATAGATAGATAGATAGATAGATAGATAGATAGATAGATAGATAGATAGATAGATAGATAGATAGATAGATAGATAGATAGATAGATAGATAGAGATAGATAGATAGATAGATAGATAGATAGATAGATAGATAGATAGATAGATAGATAGACAGACAGTTAGATAGATAGACAGTTAGACAGATAGACAGACAGACAGATAGACAGACAGACAGACAGACAGACAGACAGACAGACAGACAGACAGACAGACAGACAGACAGACAGACAGATAGATAGCCATACCAACACACAGCGATAGATATACAGCCATACCAACACGCAGATAGACGGACAGCCATACCAACACGCAGATAGATGGACATACCAACACACACACACACATACACATACACACAAACACACACGCGTACACACACGCGTACACACACGCACGAATAATCATTCCACTCGGTCAGGAGACTACAAAATTGATTACCTGTTCTAATTCTGACACTAGTCTGTTTCGTTCTTCTTCAGTTTCCAATAACTGTTCTTTTGTTGTTGCCAACTCTTTACTGTAGCTATCTGCCTTGTCTTCAGCCTAGGATAATAAAGTTCATATCAAAGGATCACACCACTATAATTATCACTGTACACCCCACTCAAAAGTGCTTAGTACAAATAGACTAAAAGACTATATACTGTTTTTGAAACTATCTTTGTCAACATCCGAGTACTTGTTTTAGAACCCCTGCAAATGAACGGGTGAAAATGGACGAGTCTTGGAAGAATTCCACAGACATTACAACATACCACCCCATGGACATTACAACATATACAACCCTATGGACATTACAACATATACAACCCTATGGACATTACAACATTATACAACCTTATGAACATTACAACATATACAACCCTATGGACATTACAACATTATACAACCCTATGGACATTACAACATTATACAACCCTATGGACATTACAACATATACAACCCTATGGACATTACAACATTATACAACCCTATGGACATTACAACATTATACAACCCTATGGACATTACAACATTATACAACCCTATGGACATTACAACATATACAACCCTATGGACATTACAACATATACAACCTCATGGATATTACAACATATACAACCTTATGGACATTACAACATATACAACCCTATGGACATTACAACATATACAACCCTATGGACATTACAACATATACAACCCTATGGACATTACAACATATACAACCTCATGGATATTACAACATATACAACCTTATGGACATTACAACATATACAACCTCATGGATATTACAACATATACAACCCTATGGACATTACAACATATACAACCCTATGGACATTACAACATATACAACCTCATGGATATTACAACATATACAACCCTATGGACATTACAACATATACAACCCTATGGACATTACAACATATACAACCTCATGGATATTACAACATATACAACCTCGTGGATATTACAGATATATACATGCTTACATTATCTAAATCATGACGTAATGCTATTTTACTGGTTACCAGCTCATGAGCTAAGTCATCATTCTCTTGTTCCAATCTCATATTGGCTTCCAATAATCTTTTGTTTTCACGCTGAAAATAGAACATAAATGCAATTGAGCTTGGTGAGACATTACAGCTAACTTATCAACAAACAGTGATCTGCTGATATGACAGGTAACTTATCAACAAACAGTCATCTGCTGTAATGACAAGTAACTTATCAACAAACAGTCATCTGCTGATATGACAGGTAACTTATCAACAAACAGTGATCTGCTGATATGACAGGTATCTTATCAACAAACAGTGCTCTGCTGATATGACAGGTAACCTATCAATAAACAGTCATCTGCTGATATGACAGGTAACTTATCAACAAACAGTGATCTGCTGATATGACAGGTAACCTATCAATAAACAGTCATCTGCTGATATGACAGGTAACTTATCAACAAACAGTGATCTGCTGATATGACAGGTAACTTATCAACAAACAGTGCTCTGCTGATATGACAGGTAACCTATCAATAAACAGTGATCTGCTGATATGACAGGTAACTTATCAACAAACAGTGATCTGCTGATATGACAGGTAACTTATCACAAACAGTGATCTGCTGATATGACAGGTAACT